ATCTTTTGTATCCTGCCATTTTTCTCCCCAAAGGCATCAAATCTCTGCCTCTCCGTCGCCATCGAACTCTCAAGAACTCCTTTTTCAGCCGCAACGGTGGAAACGTGTCATATTTACTCCAGCTCGTATTGGATGGATATTTTATGCCCATCCTACGGGACGGATGCGTGGACAATGGACGTCTTCTGCTCATCCTGAAGGACCACTTGTCCCATTATCTAAACTGCAATAGGACCGAATTGAAAAAGCAGCAGAAGCGTTGCCCATCTGACACACACCAGATGTCGCCAGCCTAGCAACCATCTCTATGGGGTGTGGCGTAGAGCCGCACTTGAGAGTGTCTAATGTACACGTTGATGAGTCGGACTGACGAGTGGCTCAAGTGCGACAACAACGGAAGAGGCGAAAAGTAGAATCGAGGCAGATGGAAAGGTGAACGGGAGCAAACAAAGGCTGGAGTAGAGAAAGGTGCAGGTGATGGGTCCACTTGCTTGATTACATTTTAGCCTGGCCCTAACTGGCCTGGCCTAGGCCCGTAGGCACAATTGAGGCTTGCTTGCCCGAAAATTGACAAAAAGAGCCACCCTGAGTTCTCGAACCGCTGTGAAGAGGCTCCGTGTCGAGGCATGGGATTCACAATGTAAGCTGTGGTGGAACAGCTAACCAGACATGGTGGGTCTCAAACAAACTGACTCGGACAGATGGACATAAAACGCGATTTTCATGCTCGCTGGGCAAATCGAGCTTGACAACAGAGCCGGAACCGAATGCCGATACGTCAAAAGGTCACTGAAGACAATTCAACGCATGAAAGTTGGATTCATTTTATAGTAGCATGTAGTTGGTTGGATAAAAGTGGGTTGCGAAGTTTTGTAAATTGGCCTCCCCACAAGCCGAATGAGGCATAAGGCGACACATCAAAGCTACACCCTAGAGTCACAAATGTGTGTGCCACTGAGTGCCCCGACAAAAACGACATCAAACGCAAACAAATGCTCTCTCACATCACAAATGATTGTGACAGTATAGATGAAGCAAACCTGAATTTGCCACGGCAGTAGACCACATTACTTGTATCTATGATAAGTAGTCAGCATGGTTCGCATAAGGTGAAGATGCATTTCCAAATGGTTAATTCATCCCTCCCCATGCAACAACTAGTCTTTACATCAGCCGAAGCCACCGAGGCTGGCTAAATTAACAACTTTTATTCATGATTTATTGAAAGTCTCGAAGCCTACTCTAAATGAATGTAAGTAGCATATTCGCTTGTGATGGAAAAACACAAGTTTGCCTCATTGACAATCACACTATAAAACTATGCTATTGTAGAGATGTGGCCTCCATTGAAATTCACATCTGCTCTGTGACCCAAGGGCACGCGTGGAGGTGTGGCGTTGCTTTTTACTTGTCGATAGTATGCGCTGGACTACCACAACCTGGGCTCGAATCATACAAGTGGCACTAGGCGACGACGATAATTCAGTCTAGAACAGTCTGGATGAAAAGACATTTGGAAATGCGAGGCCATGTGAAAGAAAATGGGGAAGTGAGGCCTATTGCTATGATTGTGAGTAAAAATGTAGTTATCATTTATTCATCATCCTATGTAACCTATGTCTAGTTTAAATCTGATTAAAGCTTTTAGGCTGACTAGTCTGGTCTTCCAATAGATTCTACATCAAAAGAAATTGCAAGAGGCCTAACGACTTGAGGTCGCATAAGTTGATAAAGAAGAACTGATTAAAATTTATGAAGTTGAAATAATGACGCCATTCGATAGCGTTCACTTTAACCAAGCCTTACCTTTCTTTGAAAAGGTACTTTCAAAGAAACCTAGTTGACTTGGCTAAAAGTGGTTAAATCATTGTAGTCAGCTCATCCACAATCACACCACACAAATTTTTAAATCAAATACTTAAGGATAGGCTTTGAAATCACGTCTGATCAGTGGTACACTGAAGAATGTAATATCAAAGCTGCCTGATAGCATGTGGAGAGGAAATGATACAGTAAACGGGCTAGATTCAAGTTTGTGTCCCCTAATGAGACTAATTTTGGCGAGCTCGAAAATGCAGTCCAGTCGAGTCCAGGTGAGATGAGGATAACTTCTGAGAGGTCAGAAATGAGATGAGATGAGATTACAGGAGATGATTTACCATATTCAGCTTATTGTCTTAATGTCTTCTATTTATGAATGCAAATCTTCCTATTTTCAAATAAATTAGTTTGAACTTCCTGCCTTCTTCCCTTGAACTTCAACAC